CTAAGGATTGAAAGAAACTCACCCAGTGCTGTAAAACTTGTTTATCCAAAGGTTCCTAATAGCTGAAAAGCAGTTAACAAGCAATTTCCAAAAGTGATTAGAAAAAATGCTGGCATGAATCTTTTTCATGGTCCCTTAGTCTCATGTCCATCCATTAAATCCACTTGCAGTGCTGGCCTAACCCTTTATTTTCTAGAAGATTTACAACCTTCCAAATCTACTGTTGTTGAGTATTTCTTGTCCTTCCCTCATGGATCAATTTAAAAACTGCTCTGCTCCTTTTTGGTATTACATACCAGCTGCCTAGTTCCATTTCAGATCAAGAGAAACTTTTTTTTTGTCCCCAAAAGTTCCCCAGTGTCTAACATATCTAAACTCCTCCTGTTGGCACTAGGATCTCCTCCACATACAGGCAGTCCCCGGGTTAAGAACAAGTTCTGTTCCTAAGCCTGTCTTTCACTCAAATTTGTATGCAAGTCAGAACTTGGACTTACAAATGGGTTACCTGTTACTAAAAATGGCGGATGGCATTCTCCTTCCTGGAGCCAACAAACCACTGAAGCCCCGTGATATTTTCATGAAGCGCTGAGAACAGGCTATATACTAAAAAGGTGCGGCTTCAGCGGTACATGCAAACATTGCATGGCTTCAGTGGTTTGTCAGTTCCAGGAAGAATGCCGCCTGCCATTTTTAGTAACAGGCAGCCAGTTTGTAAGTATGCCTTAAGTCAGACATACTTAACCCAGGAAGTGCCTGTACTGAGATCCCTGAGCTCTGCCTATTTAATTGACCCTGCACATGAAACAAACAGCATTTCTGAAAACACAACCCTGAAATTACTAGATTTCAGTCTGTTACCTAGTAGCCTAAGAAGTCTATATTTGGCTGCCTGACATTTCCCAATGTCATTGATGCCAATGTATGCCATGACCACTACCATTTCATTTCCCCAGCACTACTGTCAGCCTTGTGAGGTAGACCAGGCAGGAAGCATGGCCAGATGAGCTAATGCTACTTCATTGTAAGGTTACACTAACAGAATTTGGCAAGTCTGAATGTACATTTCTCCCCATCCCCTTTATAGACCAAGAAACTAAGGATGGCCCCTTCTGAATCACTTGTCCTCCCCACATTTCTGCTGTTGGCTAAGTTGCCTTCTATCTGACTATTCCCTTGGCTGTGTCTCTTCTTCCTGTCTCCTGAGGTCATTCCCACATACCATTACAACTATCCGGTAGATTAGCCTGCTAACAGGTGACATCTACAATCTTTGCCCCAGGCAGGAAAGTCACCAAGCAATCAATGCATTTGTCACAATCCCATATATAAGTATTTCTAATGATCAATTGATTTATTATGTGCCAGCAAGTTGTTTTTGACCATATAGATAGATTTTCTCCCACAAAACAAAAAGCTCTGTGCTTCCTGAAGGACTATTTTTGGTATAAGATGGGGGCTCATCATCCAAGGACTGCAATTCTCATATAGGAACATCTTCCTCATCTTCACAATGTTCTCCTTCCCGAAACCCTCATTCCACCTGACAGCAAGACAGCTATCACTGGGACAAAGTTAGCATATCCCAAAAGGTCCTGTCTACATACTTCTCTGTTTCTCTAAGTACAGTGGTGCCTCGGGTTACGAACGCCTCTGCTAACGAACTTTTCGGGTTGCGACCAGCTCCGGCTGCAAATCTCTAAGTACAGTGGTGCCTCGGGTTACGAACGCCTCTGCTAACGAACTTTTCGGGTTGCGACCAGCTCCGGCTGCAAATCTCTAAGTACAGTGGTGCCTCGGGTTACGAACGCCTCTGCTAACGAACTTTTCGGGTTGCGACCAGCTCCGGCTGCAAAAATTTACCTCGGGTTACTAACTCCGCCTCGGGTTACAAACCGGATCCGCGGCAATTTTCCGCTCTGCTGCATGGTCCGCGGCCATTTTCCGCCCGTTCCACATGGTCCGCAGCCATTTTTCCGCCCCTGCCACGTGGTCTGTGGCCGTTTTTCCGCCCTGCCATGTGATCCGCAGCTGTTTTTCCGTCCTGCCGCGTGGTCCGCGGCTGTTTTTCTGCCCCTGACGCGTGGTCCGTGGACGCCGGAATGGATTAACGGTAATTACATTGAATCTTATGGGAAAATTTGCTTCGGGTTGCGACCAATTCGGGTTGCGACCAGAGTCACGAAACGGATTAAGATCGTAACCCGAGGTACCACTGTATCTCTAGTTCAGCCACTTAGTTCCAAGAGAATGGACTTGTTCCTCAACAGCCAAGTGCTGATTGCAGTGAATCTATCATTAATGCCCAACAGGCAAAGAGATATATTTGACACTCTATATGATAAACTAGAAAGCATCTTGTCCCTTGTTGGAGTTCTACCTCCATGATAGTTATTGCTGGCAACTTGATATTCTCCCTTAGGAACTGTTTAACTTAAAAGAGAGCCCCTAGGTTATACGTTTTTACAGGGTTTGAAGCCCTGGTGTTCTTAAAACAGTTGCTTAGCCTTTGAAACTGGGAGGTCACTGTGCTTCTTCCCCATTCAGGTCACCCTCAAAAAACACTTGTCCTTATCAATTCCCCTGTTCACTCACCCTGGTCATGAGCTCCCAACTCTCTTTCCGCATTTTAAAGGTGTTGTCTAAGACTGTTTTTGGCCGAGAAATGTGACTCTACCCATTAGCTAATCTCTTTATCACTAACTCAAGTGTAGCTGCAAGCCCATCTCCCAGACCCTATGCTTAGCAAGCTGGTGAACATATCCCAATTGGGCAGAAAAAAACCATATATATCCTCATTCAATTGCCAAACTACTCTCTTCACTTGTAATTAACAGCCCCACAAATTTCCCAGTCTGTACCTATTTGCCTTTCTGTTCTCTCAATCTGGTTGTGAGCACCCAACTCTCTGTCTCTTCTTTGAAGAGGACACTCAAAGTTGATAACATGCCACACTGACAGGCCATATCGTCTACATTATGAATGCAGTATATGTCATCATTTTTGGAACTACACTTCTACACCTCTGACCTAGTGGCTTAAATATAAATCCAAGTTAATTTCCTGTTTGAAAGGCAGTGAAGGGCTATTTATACTAATTCATTTTTGAGGAAGCTCCTTATTTTCAGTTGTATCATATTAACTTCAAGTGTGGTATCAATAGGACATTATTGAAGTAGTCTGACCATTAACAGTTCATAAGAGTTTGAAGAGAGCAATATATACCTACCCTTAGTTCTTCAAGCTTTTCTCTTATTTCAATAAAACCCAAGTGCAATTTTCCTCCAAAATGATCAGCAAGCCGCCTGTCATTGTCATGTAGGCCAAGATAGGCTGAGCACACTTCACAGACCCGTAGCTTTTGTTGCTGGAAACTGGAAGCAGGCATAGAATTCCTGTACACTTCCTGGAAGATGCATCATAATATGTCTCTTAAATCATGAATAACACACATTCTTAATAAATACAGAATCAGGAATAGATAATTGATTTGGCCCTCTGTATGTATTTGTTTTCCTGATTAAAATGAAACAAACAAACAAAAGGTATTATAGTGGTAATCACTGCTACCTATAAAAAACAAAAACAAATACTTTCATTTACTTTCATTTCTTTCAAAGAGAAACATTTTTGTTCAGGATAGTAACAGCCATGTCCCCTTAAATGTACTGTAAGTTGTAAGGGGTTACAGCAGGCTATTCATCTGCACTGTTTCTTTCCCCCTCCCCTTTACAAAATGTCTTTTTCCAACTGAAACAATATTTTGTGGCGAATGAAGACCATTGAGTATGCTCCACTTTTCTATGAATTTTTTAATCTTTCTAGTATTAAGGAACTTTGCTCAGGAATATAGCTAGTGATATTACGGAAATATTCTGGCATATAGAGGGATTTCATTCTCTCTGTGCAAGGCTTCAGGAAGGGAAAGAAGTAGCAGAAGTCCATTATGCCTGATAAAAATTGAGATGAGCCAGAAATAAATAAATAAAATAATGTTTAACAATTATAGATTTACTGAAATTTTGAGAACTATGAATATAGCTTAAATATCCTTTTAGTTATCAACTCCGTGAATAAGAACCTTTATTTTAATTTGGCCTTCCAGGACTAACTAAAAGAAAATATTTTTGTACATAATCAGATTACCTCTGCTTCTCTTTTCTTTGCCCTTGCTTTCTCTACTTCATCCATTACTTTCTGAGACTCTTCCACATTTCCATCAGCTCCAAGTTGTTCAACTTTAGCAAGCAGTTTTCCAATTTCCTCATTTAATTCATGGACTCTTTCAGCCTTTCAAAGAGAAAAGCAATATTTATAATTATTAATATCACTAATATTCAGTATGTAGAAGTCATGTCAATATAAAGCAACAAGTAAAACATGCAACAAAATGTTGCAGTATGAAATGCTTCTGTTCAAGCCAGCTAGCTATGCTCTCTTCCAGGATACACTGGCCTATTATGCTATGAGCGTTATGTACAGATTTTGAACAACAATAAATAGAAATTCTTATGCAGGTTGCCTGTAGTGCTTTGATTCTTTAGAATTTAAAAAAGGAGCAACAATATTTCAAAACTTTCAATACTGAAAATGAATTAATATTCAATTAATATCACTGTGGCATTGGAGGTCTTTCATTCCTGCTCATATTATTTTTACAGCAGATAAAACAGAGACAGACAATCTGTGTCCTTCAAAAGTTCTAACTTCAACAGCCCCAGCCAACCAAGCCAGTAGCAATGGACTGAGAGGTGTAGACTGAAACCTTTCAAGGCACTAGGGTGTTTACCCCTACAGACAGACATTTAACTGCCTCTTCTCAGAGTCAAGAAAAATTTTAATTTGCTATTTTGTCTTCACTGCTTTTTTTCTCAATACATCAGTTTTTAACTCAGTTCAAAGACCCTTGTAACACACAAACACATGTATGTATGCATGTATATCTACATGTACACACATACACAAAACTAAAAATCAGGACAACCAAATCTTTGCTCAGCTATGAAAAATCTGTATGCAGTTTTGTGCATGTTATCCTTTGTTATCCGCTAGTTTGATACAAAACGGGACTGCCAAAAACCTCTTATATAAACATAATGCTGTATATAAAACCAAGTTAGAAGTCCTCAGGGTATGCCCTATAGTGAGTGATTAAGTGCTTACTTTGGCTGCAACTTCAGCACTGATCTCTTCTTGAGTTTCAGCCAGTCTTTTCTTTGCCACTTCAGTTCTCCTATCACAGTCAGCAATGAATGACTGTAGATGATCCATTGCCTAATGTATAAATCGGAAGAATATCACACTGTACTGGAAATAAGCACTTTTTCACAAGGCAAAAGTTAACAGTAAAATTAAATGTTGAATAATGTATAAATTGCTGGTTTAATTGTACTTAATACTTAATAAGACTGTAAAACAAACACAACTGAGACCATAGTTACATGAATCCTTACTTTAAATGTAATAATCACACTGACACTTGTATTCACAAGTATTCAATCAATCAGATGATAACAATTATATTCAAGGATTGAGTTGCATATATCACTGATTTAGAACTGGCAAGATAACAGAAATTAAAGTAAAACAAAAACAGGAATGAAGACTTCATATCCCAAAAATTCAAGTTATTCAAATATCCTCTTGAATTTGCCTGATTTTTAAATGCCTTTTCTCTCACAGACACTTAATATAAAGCTTACACTTGACATCTATTAACACTGGAAGAAAATGAAGAAACTGTCACATGACACAAAACACAGATCCTCTTGATTTTTATGTCAACAAAGCCAGCCTCAATGGATAGAACACAGATGAAAAAAGAAATTAGCTATAATTTGATGATGGTTTCAGAGAATCTACTGTAAAAATCAGAAGGCTCCATATTCATCTATGTTTCAACCCCATGTTTTTATATCATGGTGACATAAGAAAGCTTTGTAATTTTTACAGTGCAATCAATCTATTGGCCTTAGCCTGTGCTCTAATCTGATGTTTTAAAGGAAGCCAGTTTAAAAATCATGTATATTCAAGATAAATCTGAACTTGACTTTTACCAGTATATTATATCATGTGTATGACTGCATGTATTTCTTTCTCTATGTGATTCTTTTCTCTCACGGGCCTTCCATTCTTTCCTTGAAATATTATTTCTGCTATGCCTTTATCAAAACTAACCATCTTGGATCTCTTTCTCTCTCTCTCTCCAAATCAAGAGTTCCAACATTTTTTCCTAAAATAGTTAGAAGATAAACGCTCCAGAGTAATAATTATAAATCTAAATGCAAATTTGACAGAAATGGCTTGGACTTTAGAAATGAGACACTATTCTGTTGCTGCCTCCTTAATGCAACTGTGTACTATCCTGAGACAGTGCAACTACTATGTGAGTCTAGGAAAACATGTGGCTTCCTCAAGATACTAAGATCATGTCCAAGCTGGAAGCACTTTTCTCACTTTAATTTCAAATGAAGCGCCTTTCTCACTTCAGTTTCAAATAACTGCACATCTTACTAATAACAGTTAGAAATTCTAAATCTATATTAAATATTTTACAATAATGTACAATTTGACCAGTTGTTATGTACTACCCTGATTCCCTTTCCATTCTGTATAATACAAAGATAATTTGGTGATAGAACATACATCAAGCTCAAAGAAAAAGTCTTGTTCTTTTGATGCAATTTCATAATCTGCTCTTAATGCCAAATCATGCACCTTTAGACATTCTCCAAGATCCATCCTCTGAAAACACAAAAGCACAATTTTACAAGGAAATACTAAATAGATATAAATAATATTCTCATTTCAATATTCAAATAGTGTACCTAATGTTTAATATAATACATTTTAAACTACAACACAACAAATTTTCTTTAAAAGTGATCAGTCAGCATTAAAAGTCCACAAGTCTCAGTAACATCATATCTGCATACTGGTACTGTAGATCAATAAACATAAATAAAAAATAGAGCAGACTTAGCAGCACTGCTTCTTCTTGGGAAAGAAAAGCTTTCCTTCCAGTTCTTGCATGCTTTCCCTTACATTGCTAGTATGCTTAATAAATCAAGATGCAAACCAAGACATTAACGTTTTTTTAATATGGTGTGGAAACATGCATAGTACCCATTGTATTACTTTTCTTTTAGTGCCTTCAAGTCAGTCTTGATTCCTGGTGACTGTCTGGACTAATCCCTGCAGTTTTCTTGGCAAGATTTCAGTGATTTACCACTGCCTCCTTCCTAGGGCTGAGTGACTGGCCCAAGGCCACCCAGCTGGCTTTGTGCCTAAGGTGGGACTAGAAGTCATGGCCTCCCAGTTTCTAGCCTGGGGCCTTAACCACTACACCAAACTGGCTCTCTATTGTATTACTTTAAGCCCATAAAAAAGAAGGTTTGAAGATACATTCCTTTCATAAGAACAAATTATGCTTGGTTCCTTACTTGCCCTCCCTGAAATATCACCTAGATCTGCTTGAGGACTGGTGGAATCCCCTTACTAGATGGGTGGAGAAGAGTGATAGAAAATCCCATTCTATAAGAAATGCATTGAATTAGCATGGGCTGTAGTCCTTTGTTTAAAGCACCTATCGGGATGGCCTATACAAGTTATTAAAATTATAAAACGAAAACATTAATACAAAAAGAAATAAAGCATTGGACTAGGATGGAGGTTGAGCAGGGAGGCTGTTTGATCTGGCGCCTAGTGGGAAGGGTGGTTTTGTTTTTATGTCTGTTTTTATTGATTGTTGTGAGCTGCCTAAGACCATTATATGAGATAGGTGGCCATATATGTTCTATAAATAGATAAATAAAAATTATTATTAAAAAGGAACAGTTTAAAGTAGTTGGTAGCATAACCTGGATAGAGGAGAAATGAAGTTTTTCTTGTTACCTTTGATTTCTATATTTCAACCATTAGTATATCTAAACTTTAAAGCTTAATTCCTGAAAAGGCATTGCAGTAAAACATATATTGTTCTGCAACTGCTGGTGATTACAATCATTATTCAAATATGCAAGGAACAACTAAAAAGAAACGGGAAACTCTAGACTTAGTCAGAATATACTAAACCAGTGATTCTCAACCTTTTTGAAGCTGCCGCCCCCCTAAGGAGCAGAAAATTTTTCAACACCACCCTTTGTGAAAATCCTGTAATTTA